CCATCATAGGAAGAACCAATTATTTCCTCTTGATAGACATTCACTTATAGCTCCTATCCTGGAAGAGGGCATGGGAACCCACTCTAGCGTTCTTGCCTGGAGAATCCGCATGGACAGAGGAGCCTGGCGGGCTACAAAGAGTCAGACATGACTCTGAGCAACTGAGCACAGAACAGCATATATCTCTTTATCATAGCGTGCATTTAAAAAAAAATTGTGCATTTCTGTCTGAGCAACCTCTGAACTTGTAGAAGGTGTAGAGTATATAGTCTTCCTTTTGAAACAATATTTTAAGGGTCAATAATGAAAATTAAATGGAAATTTAATACATATTATGGAGAACTCATTATGTTCCAAATATCAGTAACTGGAATACAGAAGGTACTCCATAAACCTTATTGATTCTCATTTGATTGATGCTTACGTGAATGACCTTCAAAACTATCTTTCACAGTTGAGATGATCTAAGCACATCAGATAACTGAGTTCATCCCCTTCCACCTCTGCCCCCCTCACCCCGAAAGTTAGTACTCAGTAACAAACATTTAACAGGTCATTATTTCTTTATCTTGTATATTTAACAAACATTTTATTGGACTTCCACCAGATTATCAGTAGAACACTAGAACTTCCTTTGTTAGGCAATGAGAATCCAAGCTAAATATATTTAAAGCTAGCCTCTTTTTAAAGCATCAGTTAGTGTATGGACATCAGTGATAGTAATAATTATTTACAATTTCAGTTAGAAAAAGTGTGTAGGGATTTTAAGGATTTTTAAATTTCTGAAGGAGGTTGTGAATATATTGGTAAATGATGGGGGAGGAGGGAGATTAGGGGAATGTAAAGTTCCCAGAAATCTTTAATTGTGTGAAATGTCTTCTGGCTTTGCCTGATTATGAGATTGCTTCATAACCACTCAAGAGGCAGGGTGTCTTAATGGGTGGCCCATGTAGAGAACTCATGTTTTAGTGGTTGCCATGTAACTTTGGACAAGTCATTTAGATCACTTAAGTATCCCAGGATTTTCCACAAAATTGAGTCATTAGAGAAACTTGGTTACTTCTTAGGTGAGGCTTAGATAGTAGAACAGCATGAAAGATTGGCTGCTTTTTAAAAAGGAGTGGATAAAAGGATTGAAGGAAAGTTCATAAGTGTCATGTGTAGATGAGAACCTTTCTAAGTCCTGAAATTTTTAATTTGGGAGAAGAGAAATTGATTGTTTAAAAAGCATTAATTTAGAAATGGCTTCATTAACTATTTTATTCCTAGAAGAAATATATTGTGTTTAATTCACACTTTTAAAGCACAAAGACTGAGTGGTAGGAGTTTTATATGTAATACAAAATATATTTCGGTCCTACATCCTGTCAAGTCAGAAAGAGGCAAAGAAGTGTAAAAGATATAGATTGAGATCAAGGAAGAGAAAACAAAATGTGAAAGGAATGATGGGACTGGTTTGAGTCTGCTGCCTTCAAGAGCCCCTTCCCTCTCTTTTTCTTCACGGCATCAATCTCTCAAGACTCAGTGTGCTGGTCAGTTCACAGTCCCCATTCTGACCACCCTCCTTCTTCAGAGACGTAATTTTCACTCCTGACTTAGGAGCATGACAGCTCCTTGAGAGCCCCGAACTGGCAGCAGTACCTTCTTCCCTTTTTTGGGAGAGTGGGACCAGGGTATTTACAGAGGGCTTCAAGAAGCACGCACTTGCCCATCATCAGTTAATTCAACACAGACAATTTTAGATGCTGACACCGGGATGGACAGATTTAGTCATATCCCTTTTCTCCCTTTCTTCCTGAAAGTCCATTAAAAATATTAGTCATTTTTTGAATGTGTCCTTTTTGTGTTTAATAATATCTTTTACGTAATTAATTGTGTAAGAGGTGTCTGACCAGTACTTACTGCTTTTATAATAAAATCTTTGCAGTGATTCTGTAAATTAGGTAGTGTTATACTTAAAGATGAAGACCCTAAGAGTTAAGTAATAAGATCGCGCTGCTACTGAGGGGAAGAGCTGGGATTCACTATAATACATGAAGTGTGGGTACACACACATTCGCACACACAACTTGAACAAATGGTGGAAGCAGTTAAAGAAAACCTTTGGGTATAGAGTAATTTGACCTGGGTGGCGGATTGGAAGGGTTTTAGATGTGGTCTGAGTAATTCTTTCTCTGAAGTTGACCACAATAACAGTTCATCTTTGGTTTCTCTGCCAACTGCAACTCCCTGGTTACTTCGTTTTCCAGCAGTTGGAATTAAGTGACCACCGATATGAGGCGACATAAGAGTTAAGAATAGATTAGAGTTAGAATGTTGTGTGGGAGAAGTAAGTGTTCTCCGGCTCACTCCTTGAGGGGGCCTCTTCTGTGTTCTGGGGGTCCCACTTATGCTCTTTTACTTCATGAGAGGGCACAGACGTTGGAATATGAGGGAAAAATCTGTCATTGTGCGTCAGTAAATGCCAGATTATCTTAGAAAGCGGCATTGTTAAAAGCAAGTACACGATTCAGATTTAGGGTCTACTTCAGCTTTCCCTCAAAGGTTTGGGTTTTTTGTGTTTTTTTTTTTTTTTTAAGAAATTTCATTTTTTTTTTTTCAGTTGAAGAAGCTGTTGTCTGCAGTTGTTGCAAATGGGGGGAAAGGGTAATTTGCAGCAGAAAGAAATAGAATTTTCCAAATGTACTATTGTGGTAACAGGGTGTGTCGTTGTTCTAACGGAATACTTTCTTAGGAATGGAAGAGACCTTAATTCTTTACTAGTCCAAACTTCAGCAACAAGATGTTGAGAAAGAATTTTGTGTTCTGTTTTGAAACTGGTTTAACTAAACCTGCTGAGGCTCACCTGAAGTATACAGCTCCTATCCCCTGCAGATAGACAGCCTTAATCTGCCTCCCATTGTGTTGTCATGAAGATGGCATTAACCTCCTTGAGGGATGAATATCTACACTTTCATAAATGTGAAGAGTTTACTTTATGAAGTAGACTTCCATAAATGTAAAGTAGCTTTATTAAACGTAAAACGTAGAAAGGCCCTGGTCAATGGGTACACCATGTAAGTAGAAACTTCTCAAAATGTTAGAGTCCCTTGAGAAATTAAGCTGGAACGTAGTATCAATTCTGAGGGACATTTGTGAGAGGAACTCCAGGCAGAAATAGCTGAGGCTATAGCAAAATCATGTAATTTATATCTTTTTAAAAAAATGTAGCTATCATACTCCATGCCTGGAAAGTAGCCAATATTGTGCCATCTTTTATGGGCAGAAAGAAAGAGAAAGATTGATCTCCTTAGTTAGAAGTCACTGAGTCTTGCCTCAAAACCAGAAAAACTAATAGAATTCATGGGAGATGAGACAAACCTTTATTGGAGAGAATCTTATTCTCTTTGACTGTCTGGAGACAACTCTAGCCAGAACTCAGACTGCAGGAGTAGTCTTTAACTGGTTTCTTTTCCATTTGGGAAAATTAGAAATAAATTGGAGGATAATGTGGGAATCATTAAATATATTTACTCAGATTTTATAAAAAATGTTCTAGGGCAAAAAAAGAGGGAGAAGAAAAAGAAAAAAGGCAAGGATATGGGAAGAATGGGAACAGTTCTGATTTCAGTATTAAATCTAGTTAGCAGGCATGAGGCGAAGGGCAGAAATAAATAACCAAGTTTTATACAAAAGGAAGTCGAAAGGGTGTCCTTGCATTTAATAGTAGAAGGAGCAATTGCAGCATGTTAATAACTTCAATGGAAGAGCAGAGTAGCCCTGCTGAAAAACATCAGCATAAGACTTAAATAAGACTGGATCCCTGTCTTAGGTGTAATGGCCAGGTTTGGGGAGACTTTTGTCTGTGGCCACCTGTCACATTTGTTGAAATTCACTATCAAGTTCAAAATTGCCTTTCCTAGGCAAGCAAAGAAAGCTGCTGAATCTGAGCCATCCAGCGCAGTGCATTCACAGCCGTGAACAGCACATTGAGGAAGACACAAAAGAAGTAGACAGAATCTCTGCCTCTGCTTAGGAGCATGCAATTTAGTTGGGGAGACAAAACTAAATGCTAGAACCAATAAAAGAAGATTACAAAGCAACTTGCAAGTAAGTGTATAATAATATGGCGCAAATGACACAGATGAATGCAGAGGGGACATAGAGGAAAGAGGAGTGAGCCAAACACAACAGTGTCAGATGAGCTAGGAAGGCGTGTTTCTTAACAGTACTGTAGCTTCTCTGTTCCTTTCTGTATCATTGATGAGGAAAAACGTGGGATAGGAAATTCAGATGTTCCGCATCGATCTCTTTCTCCTTATCTGCCGAGTCTGTCTGTCTATCACAGATGGAAATTAAATTGATCCAACAATTTACTCTCCACAAAGCCATGTTGGTTTCTACCTAGTAATTTATGCTTTTCTTGGTGTTTGCAAATCGATTGCTATTATGGGATGCAGTCAAATCTGGGCCTGGATCCAGTAGGTTGGGGGATTATTGGAGTGGATATGTGTGTATGCATGTGAAATCCTGGAAAAATGGACTCTAGTTTCTGTGTATTTTTACTCTGGATAAAAACACTTTCAGGTTTTTAAAAAAAGCATGTTTAACTGCACTCAAATTGCATTTTTAGGGGAGGTATCTGATTTGTTTCATATTGCTCCTGACAGGCCCAGCCTTCAAATCACCTTCAGTGGCATTGTTGCCAGACCTTTTGTTTTAAAAAAGCCTTTCCCTACCTCATGAATATTATAAATCTCTACATTTTTTTTCTTCTCGACAAAGATATATATATATGTGTGTATATATATATATATATATATACACACACACATTTCTACAGATGTTCATGTAGTTTAATAAATAAAATATTGCTGCTGAAAGGCTTAGGAAAATATACTTTATTTAAACACTCGACTTCATTGTTCTACCTTAAACAAATTTTTTTAAGTCCTTCTGAGGATTGTGAAATTCTTTCAAAACAAATTAAAAAGAAAACATTTTCTGTGATTTCTTTACAGATTCTGGACAATCAGGAAGTCCAAGCCACAATGATCCTGCCAAGAATCCTCCAGGTAAATATGTGTTCCAGGACGTTTGCAATCTGACATTGTCGGAGAACAAAGGTACCACTGTATAGATAAACACCCCTTAATTGGTCAGCTGCCTATTTTGTTCTGGAGGGCAGGTATGATCGGGACAAGATGTGATTCTATTCAGACCCTTCACAGTGGCAAATACCTCCACATTGGCGTCATCAGTATGTACCTAATCACTAATGTTTTACTTTTTGTTGGTGTTTCTTTGAAAATGAATATGCATGTATTTTATAGTTGTGTATCCTTCAGGTGCTAAAAGGCACTGCTGGTTTGAAAAGCCAAAAAGCCTTCTAGTCTTTCTTTTAAAATGCATAAGAAAAAGTAAAACTTTTCATACTCTTATTATAATTTATCAAATCTCATTACTTTAAAAGGTGGGCTCTGGTGGTAGTTGATTATGTCTTCATGAGGGATTTTTGCAAATGAGTTTTTATTCCATAAGGTTCTTAATAGAAGTCCCAGAATCAGGAAATAATGAAAATCAGGCTTTTCCTTTTATGTAATATATGCCCAATACTCTCTTGGTTTTCAGAAGTTGTTTCAGATCTAAAAATGGCTTTTATAAGAAATCATACTGTCTTTATGATTTTGTTTTCCCTAAGTGTGAAGACATAGAATTTTGATGTTGATTTAGAGTAGTATCTTTTCTCATGAAGTAAAAACTAGTGCAAAGAAGAATTTCTAAAATTTTAATCTTATAAGATTTTTAATTGTACCTCTGACTTTAGTAAAAGAATGGTCTAAGAATAACGTAACCAAAACAAAAGCAAAAAAAAAATTCAAATCAATCACATATACCCTCCACGTCCCCAAAGGATCTCATGTCTCTGTTCATTGAAAATAAACCCCAGATTTATAAAAGGTAATGATAAAAGTTTCCACAGGTCGACCCAGTTTTAGGTCCTTAATTGCTTGATCTCCCTATAATAATACTTTGCTAATGTGAAGTTGAAATACCTGAAAAATCCTCAAAATTACAAAAAAGTATGTCAGAACATTCTTGCTTTAAAATGATATTAGAAAGATATAGCAAGTAAATACGTAAGTAAAGATACAAAGTTAATACATTTTTTCTTCCGGAAAAATCGAAGGCAGGATTCTTCCTTGTCTACACTTTGTTCTTTATTTTTATCTTAGGAAAAAAATTTTCACCAACATATTAACTTCTATATTGCACAGAATCATATTATATGACAAAAGTAGTATATCCTTCAAAGATAAAAAACACTAATTATAGATTAAAATGTATACTAAGTTGATTTTTCTTTGCTTTCATCAAAAGCATTTAATATGACTACAAATTGCTAACAACACATTTAAAAACTGAAAGAATTTAAATGACTTTTCCAGTTAAATTGATTATTTTATTTTTTGGTGTGGATGAGACCACAAAGGTGAATTATTTAGAATATAGTAAATTTTGTCAGAAATTTCCTAAAGTGGAGAATACTTGTCAGCTTTCAGTGTCTCAAACTTTACTAAAGTTTCTTCTTTTTAGTTGACTAACATTTCCTCTGCGTAGCATGATAACCAAAAGTGAATTGTATCCAAACATTTTTTAAAAACTTCGTTACTCATATTACAAAGAACTGGGAGGGAGGAAAACCTTTACTAGAAAAAGAGTTGATAAGTATTGTAAGTCAGACTAAACAAAGGATATGTTCTTTGCATTTGAATGACAGCTTGGTTTGAAATTAATAAAGCTGTTATTGTTTGAAATGCATTTCTGAACATGTACAGAAAGAATCATGCTCACTTAAAAATGTTCTGTGCTTGAGCTGAATGAATAATCTCAGAATAGTTATGCAATGACAGAATTTGACTTTTCAGTATTTGTTGAGAAACTTGCTTAAATTTTTCCTTTACTACATTCAATGTAGCAGTTATTAATGTATCTGTTTCCATATAATATGGCTAACAAACAATCAAGATGAAACATCTCTATTTTTTTTTCCTATTAAATTTTCCTTTGAAATCAACCTTTTGAGAACTATGTCTTAAGACTGGAATGTTGTAGGTAAATGCATACTATGATCCGTTGAATACCATGTACATGTAAATTGTACGTTGGTTACCAGTTTTTTCAGAGATAGACTATAACAGAACATACAAAATATCAAAATTCAGTGGAATAAAATTAGAATTTTCTTTGATGATTCAGAAGCATTCCATCATTTTAACTTGCTTTGTGTATCATTATATTTTGGTCTAACAGTAGAGATTATGAAGGAATTCTGTTTGATAAAAGTAAGAGTTTGTCTGTAATACCTTGAAATAAATCAAGTTGCTAGGAATATTAAATAGTTTCTAACTGGAAATGTGAAAAAAATCATAACTTATTAAGATTTTTGTTTTGCAGTCAACAGGGATAAATTATACTTATTATTATAAGCTCTTTTCATAAATATAAGCCTGTTTGGTATTTTCAGAGCATAATTTATCTCTAGGAGCCTCTGTTCAGCTGCTTTCTGGCTTTGGCTGAAGTGTGAAATCTCCGAAGTTCAAAGTTAGTATAAGAAGAAGTGTCCATATCTTTATGGGCAAATTCAATTTTCTACCATATGCAATGAAACAGTCAGATCACTTTGCTGTTTGTATTGTAACAAAGAGAAAGTAAACTTTTGAAAAAGATTGCTTTGAGTGGGAGCACTGTCTTGTCACTGGTAGTTTTCCACTGGAAGATGAGCAACCTCTGGACATTGCTACCTTCTACTTCTGTGTTTATTGCATAACAACTTGGGAAGAGATGGCAAAAATTCAAGATCTTTTCAAGGTAAAGTCTCTTTGAAATCTGTTTCCCTCTGTTGACATGAAGGTGGAAATCACATCCAATCCTCCTGTTAAGTACAGGTGCACGAGTCTCCCACAAATGGGGCATCCCTCTGGCTTGGATTTTCTCCAGTATGAGACATGACTGACATGGAGACACTTCCTTGCTGATTCAGAAGAACTTCTGAAACATGACCTTGAAGCTCATCATGCTGTAGTATGGAGTCTACAGATAGGCTTTTAGTTTTTAAAACTAAAACTAGTGTTTAGTGTTGCCTTCTTGAGATCCTTATTTAGTAAGCAAACTAGTCACAGGTATTTGAACAAAAGCTGTACATTTTGGGGGAGGAAGAATATTATTTGATACTTACTATTTTTAAGTGCATTTAAGTAGTTTTTTTATTGAGAAAAAATAGAGATGTTTTATCTTGATTGTTTCTGTTTCTTTTTAAATAATAAAATAATATATTTTTATTATTTAAAAGTACAAATAATGTATTATTTAACATTATTTATGTCAAATAATTTGTCACCTTATTTCCTTTCTGGAATAAAAGTGGAACCATAGAAATACTTGAATAAGTTAAATAGTTTTTGTAGCATTTCCTTATACTATCAATATTTTGTGATTTAATGTTTTGTGTTTATTCTTTGTTACATAGTGGGGATGGGCACCATAATCTTTTCTGGGATAAGGTGCCCAAAAGTATGACTTCGTCCAAGGACATGACAGTATTATTTTGGTTAAGAAACACTAGACTACTTAATTTTTTGTATGATTCACATTTTTCTTATTTATTTTGGGGTCAAAAGTCATATGTTTATATCTAGATGATTCTTTTTGAACAGTAAATTAATCTCTTCTAAGCAATAGAACTGCAAGAGTCCTATCTCAACTATAGCAAACAACTGCTGTGGACCAAAGGAAAATAAACCATTAATTAAGGAACTTAGACACAGACCTAATTTTATTTCGAATGATTAAAACCTCCACTTTCACTTTTAGAAGGTGTATGTTTGGATTATATTCTTTTGAAATGAACTTTGACGTACTATATTATTTTGTCTCTCTATATTCCTTGGGCTGTGAGCTTTTAGAGTTCCCAATCTCAGTCTCTTGCTCAGTCCTGGGGTAGTTGCTTTTCAAGAAAAACAAGACAATCTAAAAGTTGGATTTTGTCCCTCAGTCAGCTAGAAGTGGATGCCTCATTTTGGAGTTCAGAAAGAGTGTTGGTTTGAGGGGAGTTGTCTCTTGGAAATATAACAAGGAAACATTGAATCCTAGGACACTTTTTGCAAATTCTATACTGAGAACTTATGAAGCATTCTAAGTATCACTAACCAGAGCTTTCTTACCTAGAATGACATGGACCTATCCTACTTTTCTTTTTCGCAAAATTTGTCAGATGCTTGTGTTGTTTTGTGAGGTGCTTTTGCATGTAGTTTGGCAAAATCTCTGCGAACTATTAAGATCATATATTGAGTAAATGTCAAATAGTTTGTCACCTTATATCCTTTCTGAAATAAAAATGTAACTAAATAAATAATTGAATAAGTTAAATAAAGTGTATCTATTACCTAGCACTATGCCTATCTTGCATTTAAGACATTATTTTATGTTTATATAAATTCCATATTCGAGAGATCGTACATTATTTGCCATTCTCTAACATATTTCATTTTAGCATAATGCCCTCAAGTCCATCCACGTTGTCCCAAATGACAGGATTTTTTTTTTTATGGCTGAATAATATGCTCTTCTATGTGTGTACCACAAACGTATCACAATTTCTTTATTATTTTACCCATCAATGGATACTTAGGTTGTTTTTCTGTCTTGGCTATTGTAAATAATGTTGCAATGAACATGGGAGTGTGTATTTCTTGAATTTGTATTTTCATTTTCTCAGACGTAGAATCATATGGATCATTGATGGATCAGTGGATCATATCCTAGTTCTATGTTTAATTTTTCAAGTGACTTCCATTCTCTTTTCCTTAGTGGCTGCCCCAATTTACATTCCCAACTTTTTCTCCATATCCTCTCCAACACTTGTCTTCTCTTTTTGATGATAGCCTTTCTAACAAGTTCAAGGTGATATCTCATTGTGGTTTTGATTTGCATTTCCTTGGTGACTAATGATATAGAGCATATTTTTATGTATCTGTGTATGTCTCCTTTGGAAAACATCTTTTCAGGATTTTTG